ATGCTAAGTGAAATAAATCAGTCAGAGAAAGACAAATGCCATATGATCTCACTCATATGTGAAATTTAAGAAACAAAACCAATGAGCAAAGAAAAAAAAGAGAGAGAGAGAGAGACAAACCAAGAAACAGACTCTTAATCATAGAGACCAAACTGATGTCACCAGAGGGGAGACGTGTGGGGGGATGGGTGAAATAAGTTGATGGGAATTAAGAGGACACTTATCATGATGAAAAAAATTAAATGATTTGAAAAAATCTGTACCTTTAACAAGTCAAAAAAGAAAAATGTTACACTGGATTTCTCCTCCATCAGCAATGTATGGTGTGAAGTATTCCCTCTCGTTTGAGATCTTGGTTAAGTATTACCATTAAATAATAGTAATAATAATATTCCAGACAAAATATTATCTCACTGTTGCTTTAATTTTATTTCTTTGATTATTATTGAGGTTGAACATTTTAAATATGGATTTTGATTTTTATATTTCTGCTTTTATGAAGTGCATATTTAAGACTATTGTCAATTTTCCTGTCCACTTATAACAGCACTTTTTATATAATGGGCATGTTGTCATATTTTGTGAAACAGATGAGACTGGGCTGATTAATGTTTTATTTTATGGAGTCTTGGTTTATTTTTATTATTACAGGCTCTCCATCCCAGGATTAGATCCATAATTACTTCTGTTTCTCTCATGGTTTCTTTTTTATCTGAATTTGACCCTTTCAACCACCCAAATTTAATTGTGATACATAATCTCAGGAAGAGATAAATCCTTTTTACACTAAACTGAAATTACAGCTTAATAGATGTAGGCTTTTTTGGTGTGGTTAATTTGGGTCCATTTTCTTCCAGTTATATTCTCCTCTATTAATAAATTTGTCTGCCTTCCTGGAGCCAATAGCTCAGTTATTATTATAATGTTTAATAATATGGTCTAATACCTGGAAGTGGAAATTCTCCTTCATGGCTATTAGTTTTTAGTCATTTCTTGCTACAGCCAGTGGGACTCCTATTCCAAATGAATTTAATTTACTTATTATTATTTCCGTCTCCGCCCCTGAGAAAGAAATGGGATTTTCAATAAAATCACATTAAATTTACATTAGTTTAATTGTTATATTGTGTTTCCCTCTCCCCACTGGAAAAATTATTTTGTTTAAAATCACATTAAATTTATAATTTGAGGAAATTTGAAGAAAACCAACACCTTTTAATTTTTAGTTTTCTTATCACAGAAAGAATGTTTTTCTCTTTACCTTAAAAGTTCTTACATTATATCCTGCAGCAAAATCACACATTTTCATCTGTGGTCTAGTTTCTTTAGATGAAAACCTTTTTTTTTTTTTAAACATTATATTTTTAGCAAATTGTTCCTGGATATTTGATATTTGTATATTTATTTTATGAACAAATGTTTCATAGTCATCCTCCAAGCTCTCATAATAGCCCATTTTGCCAGTAGCTTCTATTGGGTTTTTCAGGTAGACACACACAACAATTTAATCACATCTATGTTTTTTCCCTTCCTAGTGCTTTGGACTGACCATTCTAGAACAATATTAAATAATAGTATTAAGGGTGGGCAGCTTTCTCTTCATCCTGAGACTAAGGGGAATTTCACTGAGTAGATGTTGGCTGTGACTGAGACAGATACCCTTTCACACAGTAAAGGAGTACAATAGCCCTTCTCATCTGCGGCTTCACTTTCTGTGGTTTCAGTTACCCATGGTCAACGGGGGTCTAGAAGCAGATGTTCTTCCTTCTGACTTATTGTCAGAAGGTCAAAAGTAGCCGAATGCTACGTCACAATGCCTATGTCATTTATTTCACTTCATTTCATCCCGTAGGCATTTCATCACCTCACATCATCACGAAAAGGATGAGTGCAGAGAGAGACCACATTCACAAAACCTGTATTACAGTATATTGTTATAATTGTTCTATTTGATTATTAGTTGTTGTCAATCTTTTATCATGCCTAATTTATAAGTTAAACTTTATCATAGCTATGTGTGTATAGGAAAAAAAACATGGTATATGTAGAGTTTGGTACTATCCGTTGTTTCAGACATCCACTGGGGGTCTTGGAACACATCTCCCATGGAGAAGTGGGGACTACTGTATGCACCTGTCCTAATTGACTAACAGTGCTTTAGGAATTTATGTTCATGTCATTAAATGTCTATTTGAAATCTGTTGGGATAAGCATATATTCATTTCTTCTTTTGTGAGTAAATAGATCTCCTAATATGTAATTGTCCTTTTTTTCCTGGAACAAACTCTACTTCCTTGTTGTGTGTTATTTTTTAGAACAAAAGATTTGCTATTGTAATTCTTTAGGCTTTTGGTGTCCATTTTTTCAAATCTGATAAGTTAGTCATTTTCTTATTTTAATACTTTGTCCAATTGTGGTATCATAGTTACCATAGCTTAATAAATTGACAGATAAAATTTCACTTATTTTCCCTGCTCTAAAAATGATTGGTTACTTGGAACTGAAATAATTCTATGGTCACTTTGCTATTATCCACCTAAGCAGAGATGAGTCATGATTCAGAATCTAGAACAACCTAGAACAGCTTCCCAGATTCCCAATGACTTAAATTTTTTTTAAAAAAACCTTACCAATTGCAATTAGTGTGAACATCCATTTCATATGCTGACTAAGCCTTAGGAAAACTTTGGCAGTAAGTTTTGTCCATTAGAAAGGAGTCAATGTGTAATTAGATGCAGGTGGTAAGTAACAAAAGAAATGCAAATTTAAAAAAGGAAATCCTTCTCTCCTATAAATTAAAAAAAGAATTCTAGCGTTCAAGGTTGGTGAGGTGTGGGGAAGGCTCAGAAGCATGGATGAGAGGTTTAAAGTGGCATGAGGTTTCTGAAGGGCATTTTGGCAAGACTTATCAAAAAGTACACATCTTTTTCCTGGAACACATCTTTTGACCTAGAAATGTCACTCCTAATAATGCCATTAACGATGGCTTCAAAGATTTCATGACAATGGTATTCATCAAACCATTATAGGTAATGAAGAATTTGCACAGCTGTTAAAATTAAAGCAGATAAATATTTAGTGAAATGGATATACTACATGTTCAAAACATATTTGAAGGAGAAAAACAGAATATACACCAACGAGTTGGCAGCGGTTTATCTCTAGATTTGGAGATTACAGCTCAACTTTTTTTTCTTGTCTGTGTTTCCTAAATTTCTACAATGAATAAATATTTATTAAATAAATATTTATTCAATGAATAATAATAATAATATTTATTTCTTTTTAAATAGGGGAGTAAAAATGGACTGTAATACAATCTTACTTTGTTGCTCTAAACACCAGTATTGTCACAATAAGGGTTGTGTTTTTAATATTCAGACCTGGCTATGCAAATAAATATGGGGATGTACGAATACAATGGGAAAAGTGGCTACAGATTAAAGCCAGAGTTCATGAGGAGACCTGACAAGCATTTTGATCCATTCACCGAAGGCATCGTGGATGGGATAGTAGCCAATACTTTATCTGTCAAGGTACGTACCTCTCTATTACAAAACTGTCCCCAACAAAAGTCTCAAACAGTACCTATTTTGCGTAAAGAAGTAGTTTAGTCATCAAAAATTTAGAGCTAGCAATATCTCCACCTCCTTCATGCATTTTTCCTTTAAGGACCAAATCTGAATTACAAGTTTCAGAAGCCATATGCATGAGATAAAGGAACTTAAATCCTATTCTTTAATAGGATAAAAATTGGACCCTAAATCAATAAACCAACTTGAAGAGTCACCATGGTTGGTCTTTTCTTTTGGTACAAATATCAGTGACCTATGTTGGAGAAATCTTCTGGTCTTTTATTTCTCCATTAGTTCTTGAAAAATAGCCACCCTAAGCAAAACTAGAGAAAACAAGGTATTCTCTCAATAATATTCTCTCAATAAATTGTTAACTATTGAATAAAAGCTCCCAAGTTACTGTTTTGAAAATCTATCAGTATTCAGGGACTTAAAACACAGAGTAGTGACATTAAGTAAAAGAATCGCTTCATTAAACATACATCTGACCTTAAAATACTAATTCAAAATTATTTCTGCAGTCTTTGAAATTGATGTTACATCATATAATTTTTTTAGCTGTAAGAAAATATTTTGTGCTATGAATGAAAAACCATTTCATAGGAGCTTTTTATGTGAATTCTATAAGCTCTTGGTTGTTGTGGCTCTTTCATTTACTTTAAAGTTTCCTTTCTTGGGGTGCCTGGGTGGCTCAGTCATTAAGCGTCTGCCTTCGGCTCAGGTCATGGTCCCAGGGTCCTGGTATCGAGCCCCGCATCGGGCTCCTTGCTCCGCGGGAAGCCTGCTTCTCCCTCACCCACTCCCCCTGCTTGTGTTCCTGCTCTGTCTCTCTCTCTGTCAAATAAATAAATAAAATCTTTAAAAAAAAATAAAATAAAATAAAGTTTCCTTTCTTTCCTGTTTAGTTGGGTAACTGTGGAACTAAGAAACGTTTTGTATTGGACATAAATGCAATTTTCAGACTGACCTTAAACGAAAGGCATATGAAAGACTGTAAAAAAAAAAAAAAAAAGTAACAGTTTTGCTAATTTCTATCTACCCTAAGCTTGTTGAGCCCATTTTTACTTTAAAATTTATGTCACTTGACACAAAAGATTAAAAATAAAATTTCAGTGAAGTGTCTCAAAATTATATCTTTTGAAATTATTTCATGCCATCTATCTGAAGAGTGGAGTTGGCAGAATTAGAGCTTCGAGATTATGTTTATTTTAGGAAATTCTTTTCAGCAAAGGATGTTTCATTCCTGCCGAGTTTGATTAAGATAAAGTCCTAAGCATCACACACTGACAAAATGTTATTTTTAGAACCCTTGTCAATTGTTGTTATAGTTGGATCAAACTAATAATTTTGTTCTTGTGTGCCAGTTCATCTTGTTTTGTGCATGTGTGCTTGCTTATTTATGTTTTTTTTTTAAATTCCGGGCGCCTGGGTGGCTCAGTCATTTAAGCGTCTGACTCTTGGTGTCAGCTCAGGTCGTGATCTCAGGGTCGTGAGACTGAGCCCCACGTTGGGCTCCGTGCTGAGCGGGGAGCCTGTGTGTCCCTTTTCCTCTGCTCCTCCCCACTCTCTCAATCTCTCAAATAAACAAATAAATAACGTTTAAAAAATATTTTTAAAAACTCTACCATGAAGGTAGAAGTAGTTAGAAGATGATGGCATAGAAACAGGAAAGTGAGTTGAGGGGAAACAGTTGAGACCCAAACAGACATGAGGGGCTGCCTGAGTCCAGAATGGAGACACGGCTGTTGGGTGGTCAGTGTCCTCAGAATAGACAGGCCAGGCTGCTGTCTCATCTTGCCTTTCACATGATGGCCAGAGCCAAGAGGCGGCTCATGTCCCTCCAGTGGTGCCTTTGTTTTGACCTTCTGACATAGACTTCCTAGTGTCAGAATGGACTTGGGTGCCCAAAAGGTGTTCCACCATCCTATTCTACTGATGGGAACATTGAAGGTCATTAATTTAGTTAAGAACCTCTGCTTTTTTTTTTTTTTTAGATTTTATTTATTTATTTATTTGAGAGAGAGAGAGAGCTCAAGCACAAGCAGAGGGGAGAGGCAGAGGGAGAAGCAGAGGTAGAGAGAAAGGGAGAAGCAGACTCTCCGCAGGGCAGGGAGCCCAACACAGGGCTCCAACCCAGGCCCCTGGGATCCTGACCTGAGCTGAAGGCAGATGCTTAACTGACTGAGCCACCCAAGTGGTTCCCCAAGAACCTCTGCTTTAACCAAACACCTTAAGCACACAGAATCCTTGGTGCATCTGATTTCCCACTGTGACTCACAAGCTGGGAAGTTTCACACTTGTCTGCTAAGTTGTTCTCCCTTAGAACCTCAAATTAAATAGAGATCATTGTTGGCAGGTCCCAGGCACTCAGGCTACAGAGAACATTCAGGAGAAATGAGCTATCCTGGCAAATTCAGACAGCCTATTCCTCGTTTTTCTCTCTAACTGGTTTGGAATTTCTGACCCCATCAGCAAATAGCTCACTGGCCTCGCTGAGCCCTTGAGGGCCATTTACAGGCTGACATCATGTCCCACTTCTGGCCCCGCCATAGTCTTGATAATTCTGTCCCCTTTCACGGACTTGAGCTCAGAAAGCTCCTAGCCATCAGGATATGTGATTTTAAACTCTTTGAACTCTACAATATCCATAAATTTTATAGCTAAGCAAGGAAACCCATAACTGTGTGGACAGCTAACAGGTTGGGGTTAGGAGTGATGATAAACTGGGCTTGATGGTTTAAAGTCGATATTTGGGTTTTGTTTTTATTATCATTGTAGCTTTTTATTTAAAGTATAACAACTCTGGGGGCACCTGGGTGGCTCAGTCGGTTCAGTGTCTGACTCTTGATCTCAGTTCAGGTCTTGATCTCAGGGTTGTGAGTTCAATGCCTTGTAGTCTACTTAAAACTATAAAAATAAAAAAAATAAAAATATAACAACTCTGAGAATTGAATAACATAGGGTTACAACCATTTCTTCAAGTTGAATTTTATGAACAAAAGGAAACTTTTTAAATGCTAGTTTCTACTTTGTTATGTTTTAAATTTGTGCTCTTACCCTTTTAACTTCATTTACAATCATGCTAAAATGAGAATTTTTTTCTCTTGTAACATCTTTAAGTATTAGAAAAACCTTTATATTCAGTTGGCTCTAAGATCAATTTTCAACATTTAACAGATGTATCTCAAGTACAAAAGGTATAATCTCATCAAACTTTTGGTATATTTTCATTTATTTCCTCCTATACAATTTTGTCTTATTAACTGACTCCTTCTGACTTCAGCATTTTCAATGTGCCTCTATCAATTCCTTAACCAAATTTGTTCTCTTGCCTCTATTTCATTTTGGTTATGATTCAACCAGCATTTGTACCTCCCTAAAGTATTCTCTTATATCACTTACTCATTTTCAAGAGTTCCTTTTTGATTATTTTCTAGATTATTTCAGGTCAGTTTCTTTCTGATAAGAAAGTCGGGACTTACGTGGAAGTGGATATGTTTGGTTTGCCTGTGGACACGAGGAGGAAGGCATTTAAGACCAAGACATCACAAGGAAATGCTGTAAATCCTGTCTGGGAAGAAGAGCCCATTGTCTTCAAAAAGGTAGGTCTCATATCCTTGATATGAGATGTAACTGCATATTCTAGGTGTTTCACTCTGAGAAAAAAAAATTACAGGAAGAATTATTTGTTGCTAATTTGGGAATTTACACATTTATAAAGCAATAGCACTTTGGGGGCTATCTTAAAAACTGTTCAGGAACTCTGTGAATCACTTGTTTGGATTTTCAGAATTGCGTTGTGAATCCCTTAATTCTAGTATACCTCGTTTGGAAGACCAGAAAAACATATAAATTAACTCGTATCCCCTCATGATACAAGTGGTAAATGATATATTTTCATCGTAACTGAAATGAAGTAAAGTGGAAAGTAGGGAATAACATGGTAGCAGAGAGAAGGAAGCCCATACATCCTAAAAAAGAATATTAATTAAACTTCCTATAACCTCTAGCCTCTGGCAGCCGATCATTCTATCTTGTCTGGATTCTGTCTGATAGAGTTAAAATCTTTCCATTTGAATGGGCCTCCTGTCTGCCTTCACCAAAAAAGCAAATCTTCTACACACATGCTTGTCACACAAAGGAAGACAATAGTCTAGTAGAAAGTGGAATAGACGATCTTACCATATCATTTACTTTTATCTGGCCAAAAGATCTAGAAAGGTTGTCTTCTGCAAAGAGAATATCTGTGTTAAGGGTCTCTGTGCTCCCACTATCTTTAATATGTTAATCAGATTTAATAGTAGTGTCTATTTCAAAGAGTTATTAATAAGTGTTCCCCAATACACTGAAAACATTTATGAAATGTCTGGCGCTTTGAAAATAGTCAACAAATATTAGCTTGCTCTTGTTACCAAAATTAAGTCTTTAAGGATACAGTTAGCCTCATGTTCTCCACACATGTTTTACGTTGTGGGGGGAAAAATGAGCAGTTACTTGTTGCTCATTTGGGAATTATTTATAAAGCAATCTCATTTTGAAAGCTGTCTGCAAGCTCTATTTTTGCATGTTTGCTTTTGCTTTGAAAGTATAAAAGTGATTTGCTTTGAAAATATAAGAGTAAGGGCACCTGGCTGGCGCAGTCTGCTAAGCATCCAACTCTTGATTTCAGCTCAGGTCATGATCTTGGGGTCATGGGAATGAGCCCCACATGGAGCTCCATGCTGGGTATGGAGCCTCCTTCCTCTCTCCCTCTCCCTCTGCTCCTCCTCCCTCTCCCTTCCCTGCTCATGCTTGCCCACTCTCTCTCTCCCTCAAAGAAAAAGAAAAAAGAAAATGTAAGTGTAAAGGCTCAAATAGTGGTAAGACTACTAACTTTATATTTAAACGTTTGTCATTTCCATATTTAAAGATTACCTTTCTAATTCCTTCTTGGAGTTGCTCCTTCTTATAACCACTTGTATCCTGCATTTCCCTCTAGGTGGTTCTTCCTTCTCTGGCCTGTCTGAGGATAGCAGTTTATGAAGAAGGAGGTAAATTCATCGGTCACCGGATCTTGCCAGTACAGGCAATTCGGCCAGGTATGGACAGTGTGGTGAGAAACTATCAAAGCTGTCAAGAAAACCATCACTGCCTTACGTGATTGTTCAAGGGTGAATTAGGAAGCTGTCTGAAAACTCAGTGGTTTATAACAAGTGCTTTATCTTTATGCTCACAAGTCTGTGGGTTGGCAGGGTTTGGCTGGGCTCAGCTGTGTGGCTGTGCTTTAGGCTGAGGGCTGGAGTTAGGTCTGCTCCCCGTGAGCTCATTCAGGCTTCCAGGAGGAAGGAGCAGTAGCACCCACAGTATGGACATTTATGGCCACCCCCTGGAATGCATATAAGGGCAAGCCCGACTCTGCAAGTGCATTTGAATCCTCTGTTTGCACCACAACCCTAACATCCAGTTGTCTAAAGCAAAGCATATGGCTAAGCCCCAAGTCAAGAAATCACATACAGGGGAAGAATTTGGACCAAGAACTCAGTCTATGACATACAGTTTTAGATTCTCTTTTGTGGGGAAAAACGTGATTGAAAAGGAAAATAATCAGAATCAACATTGTTTTCCTGTCTGATGAGAAAAATAATTTCACATAAAACCATGTGATGAAAATAAGAAGTGACCTGTTTGTCATCCAAAGTCACCTAAAACAAACACTTCCATCACATAGATGTTCCTGTGTTGTAACTAACATTGTGAAGAAAATATGTGATACACGGTATTAATGTCACCCTATAGGCTATCACTACATCTGTCTGAGGAATGAGAGGAACCAGCCTCTGATGCTCCCAGCTGTCTTTGTCTACATAGAGGTGAAAGACTATGTCCCAGATACATATGCAGGTAAACAACCTAAGTCAAGGGGATGTTTCTATCTGGGGCCATCCTTATTTTTGTGGTTTAGTGGAAGGAAAATTGGACCAAAAATAGGCAGGAAATTCTGGCCTCAGAATCACTTCTATTTATGTATGCATGTTGATTAAATTGCTCAAGACTTTGTGAATAGATTTTAATTTCATTGAAGTCCGAATAAAATATTGAGCATATTTATCTACTAGTGGTATTATTCTTATGGGTGCAGCAATTTCTAACCCATGCTACTTGCTACTAAAGCAGTGTATCTAGGTCTGTACAATGACTTTATCTTCAGCCAGTTTTAGAAGCCAGATCCTTTTCATGGGTGAAATCCTAAGTTTAGAGGAATTAACTTGTGACAATGTCAACCAGGAATCATAAATTTAAATACTCCTGGTGTTAAGTGGCCTGATTATAAGGTATTGGGGAGTGGTGGAGACTATGGCAAACTTGGAGCACATGCCCGTCCAAAGATGGCAGCCATAACTCACTCCAGCTAGACAGTATCATGTGTGAATGATACTCATATTGCCAAGTCTTTGGGTTGTTTCAACAGTCTGGAAAGGAGGCTTTTTATTTGAAATATTTTCCTTCATTTATGAAACACCATTTGGGCCAAATAGGACAAGTGTGTGGGCCATTGTTGGAATGGATGGGCCCCTCAAAATAAACTGAAAACTATGTAATATTGAGGTATCTTGGGTTGGAGCCTATCCAGTTTGGCTGTCAGAGCTGAATTCCCTTGAGTTCTGTTTTCCTGAGGTTGAAGCAAAGGGTCCTGACTTGTCCATTTCCAAAAATGTTGGATGGATGAGTGGATAGTTACATGGTATATGGAAGAGTGGAAGATGGATGATGATTCGGTGGATGGGTGGGTGAGTAGGTAGAGGATGAATGAATGGATGGATGGATGAATGGATGGATGGATGAATGGTTAGTTGGTTGGATGGATGGATGGATGAATGGAGGATGGATAATCAATATATCCAGGACCTTTGATCTAAAATATCTCTTCCTTATCTAGATGTGATTGAAGCTTTGTCAAATCCAATACGATATGTGAATCTGATGGAACAAAGAGCTAAACAATTGGCTGCATTGACACTGGAAGATGAAGAAGAAGTAAAGAAAGAGGTGAGCGAGTATTCTAATCTTATGTGGTATTAAGCATGATTTCCACACCCAGTGGCTGGCTTTGCCTATGTAACATCATACCTCATGAGAAGAAAATAATACATTGGAAAAACTCTTTGATGGAGCTCAGCATTGTCTCATAAAACATCTACATGATTGACTGAATTTTTCATATTTCATCCTCTTCTGGTGTTCCATGCCCACACCAGCATCTTATTTTGTGCCTGCATCGAACAGTCCACATCTGGCCATTTCAGGTGAAAGTTTCTAACTGATTTCATATTAATTAAAGGTGACTAAAGCACTTAGAAAAGAAGATGATCATCACGTATTTAGTATTTTCTTTTTTCTTTAATCGAAAGTGCAGGATTTTCAAAGTGCTTTTGTGACTTCTTAGAATACATAAAGTCATTAATACAAATACCTAGTGTGTAGTATGGGCCATGAAATGTTTACTACTATTATTACATTGTATACTTATATATTATAATACATATTCCCAAATAATTGGTATATTTTTCTAAATAAGATGTCACAATGCAAAGAGTAATCAAGGAAGGGACTGGAAATATTAGAAGTGAAATTTAAAAATATAAAGCTTCTATGTAGACTGGCAGTCCTTTAGTTTTCAAAAAAGTGAAATATAGTTTAATGATTGGAGGTGACACCAACATTAAAAACAGTGAAAGAAATAAGCTATTTTCATACTTCATTGAATATTCTGAAGATCAGTTCATGGAGAAAGATGAGAAAAATGGAGAACTATCAGAATGGGGGGAGAAATTTTGGAAAATTGTTTGCATAACTATAACTAATACCAAGTCCATAAAGGTTGATATAATTTATTTTTTTAAGATTTATTTATTTATTTGAGAGAGAGAGTGAACATGCAAGCAGGGGGAGGGGCAGAGGGAGAGGGAGAAGCAGACTCCCCACTGAGGGTGGAGCCCAACACAGGGCCTGATCCCACGACCCCAAGATCATGAGCTGAGCCAAAACCAAGAGTCAGATGCTTAACCAACTAAGTCACCCAGGCGCCCTAAGTTGATATAACTTATTAAATAACTTTTTTCTTGTGCCAAAAGAAACCTAGGTTTATCATGGAAAATTTTTAAACTAAATATAAGAAAAGAAAAGTCCCAAAGATACTACCTAGATTTCAAACCCCTAAGCCACTCAGACATAACACTGTAAATATGGAGTGTATACAAAGCTAGTCTTTTTATGCACAATTATTACTTTTTTATAAAATGGGATAATATTCTCTATCTGTGTTTTAACCTTTTATTTTCACTTACTGCAAATATTTTCCATGTCATTAAATATTCTTCTGTGACATACCCTTTAATGACTTCATGCTTTTCTATCATATAGCCATACCATAGTTTATTTTTCCAATCCCCTATTATTGGATATTTGAAATACTCCACTCTTTTAAACAGATCTTCAGTGAACATATGTAAATACATTTTTGAGCACATCTATGATTATTTCCTTCTTTTCTTGCATAGAATTTTAGAAATTTTTGATATAAGATATGTTGAGCTAATTGAACATGAGAAAAAAATGAAAGGAGAGGAAAACATTCAACATAAGAGTAACATTTCCCAGGATCTTATTTACACTGCCAGCATCATGTCCCATAGGACCAGTAGAGAGTGAAATTTAAAGTTAGACTGGTAAGTTTCATAAATAATGCTTTTTGTGGTATGCAATAAATAGGGTTATAGGAAATTTTTACATTGCCAGAAAATTATGCCTAACAGCAGACATGAATATACTTCCAAAGTCATCTGTGCCTCTAACATCTATGCTTAGCATCTGCAGAGGGAAAAAAAACAAATGAGAAACACCTAGGCCCCCTGTGTGAATTTTGAGGGCTTAGTCCAAGTGCTCACTGCTTGTGTGGGGCTCACAGAAGGAGGGGTCTTCCCATGCTCCAAGCAGATGCTATTGGTGTCCTACCCAGGCCTTCTTTATATTTATAATTTTTTTAAGATTTTATTTATTTATTTGAGAAAGAGAATGAGAGAGAGCATGAGCAGGGTGAGAGGCAGAGGGAGAAGCAAACTCCCCACTGAGCAGAGAGACCAACTCAGGGCTGGATCCCAGAACCCTGGGATCATGACCCGAGCCGAAGGCAGATGCCTAACCAACTAAGCCACCCAGGTGCCCTCAGACCTTCATTTTAGTGCTGCTTCACCCACGGCCACAGGACTACTGCAGGTGTGGGCTGCAGACGGCTCACGGCTACAGACTTTTCCAGAGGACTGGCCTGAGCTGATAGGAGCTACTTTGCTGGAGATGTCTGGTAGATTATTCTCGGAAGGGGGTGACCCATGCTGAGCGACTGAAAGATCCAGGAGAATAAGAGCCCAGGTCCCTTGCTTCTGGGTGGGCAACTTCTGTATTATAATTCACACTCCTGAGCCCCCATGGGATCAGGCTGAGACCACATTTCAACTTAATCTTCTTTCCCGGTCTTACCCTGCTTTCCTCACCTTCCTGCAGTTTCTTCCTGTTCTCAGTAAATCACACACTCAACCACCGCCATGTTGAATTCTGCTTATAGGGAACATAAGGCTGAACAGTTGCTGTTTTATACTGAAAATCAAGAATAAATGCCCTTTCTGAATTTTTTGTCTGGGAACCAGAATTTGAATGTTTGAACGCAGTTACATCTTTAATCCTGGTGGTTCTTTAGAGATCATAGTGCTTTTTCTTTCCAATGGCCTTCAAAAAGATTAAGAGGGGAAAATTCAGTGAATTTCTCATTTTGCTCATATAGACACCAATATGTAATTAGAGGCTCTCCTTAGAAATCTTACAGAAGCTTTGAAACTCTTTTCTCTTCTACCTGCTTTAGCTCACTAACATATGTAATAAAATATAATTCAAGGTAGAGATAGGTCATGTAGGTAGAAATAATCCTTAATAATATCTCTTTAATCAATTGGATGTATTTTATTTTCTAGGAAATAGAAGTTCAAAGAAAGCATTTTCAAGTGAAATTGCCTCTATTGTCACTATTTAGAAACAATACTTTTTCTATCATCCATTTCTACACATTCGTTAGCCAGGTTCTCCAGGGAGTGAGATGTTCTCTCAGTTGGAGAGAACATTCAAGACACCGCCAATTTCTGCTTATATAGTACAGCAATTGAGATAAAAATTCTCCTAATGGGGTATTTTACTCATGGTGCACCAGAGAGACCATTTTTCTCGAGATTGCAAAAAAAAATGTCACTCTAAGGAACGGGAGACCTAGGGCCTTCAAGATGTCAGGGATCCTGTCACACTACCGTCCATTCAAAGCCTTATCCTTGCACCAAACATCACATATCAAAAATCTATTTAGAGAGAAAGCAACGCTAATGGATATAAAAATACAGAAGTAGCAATTTAGGTCAACTTTATTTTTGTTTCTCCTCTAGCAGTGGTGATCAGAAAGGATTTTCAGTAAATGCATAATATTCATTAAATTTAGAAGATATTTAGACATTTTCAGTTTTAGAAATCATTTTAGAGGCATTGAATCCCGTAGATTCCAAATGGTCCAACAGAGAAAATATGATTTTTTTTAAAGATTTTATTTATTTATTTGACAGAGAGGGAGAGACCAAGCACAAGCAGGGGGAATAGCAGGCAGGGGAGAAGCAGACTCCCTGCTGAGCAAGGAGCCCTATGTGGGGCTCAATCCCAGAACCCTGGGATCATGACCTGAACTGAAGATAGCTGCTTAACCAAATGAGCCACCCAGGCTCCTGAAAATATGATTTTTTTTTTATTTTGAAATGTCAAAACCCTAAATGACCTCATTTTTGAAACTCAAGGAAAAAAAAATCATTTGCCCTTACCATGTAACTCTAGGAAGGAAAAGTCATTCCACACCTTTGAACACCAGTGTGTCCTTTATCTTGTCTTGTAATGATGTAAGTTTGTTTGAATGAGGCCACTGAAAATAAGTAGCTGTGGTTTTCTCAAAAGAAAATTCTATCTAGGACATGGCAGGCACTGGAGACGCTATTTTAGCAGCGAAGACTTTTTTAGTATAATCCTTTTAACTTGGTAGTTATAAAGGTCATTTCTATTTGAAAATTAAAGACTTCATTGGACTGCAAAATATCCTCATATTTTTAATACTTTAATAAATTATCTTCATAGAGTAATTTGCAAACCAAATAACTAGGCAAGTTGAAAATTCCCACATGCTTTGAACACTAGATGTTTGTTTCAGATCATGTGAAAAGATAGATAGATATCTATATATAAATCCAACATATTTATGTAAGTTAAAGAATAATAGAGATTTGAGTTGCTGGGTTTATTTTATGTCTTTTAAAGTTGTCATTCAGGACACTGGGTTAGTAAAATTGTAGAAAATTGCCTAATCTGAATTATAACAAAGGCTTTATAATATTTACAGCTATTTCTTTATTTAAAAAAAGGTATATAAAAAAATTTTTTTTAAAGATTTTATTTATTTATTCATGAGAGACAGAGGAGGAGAGAAAGAGAGGGAGAGAGAGAGAGAGAGAAGCAGAGGGAGAAGCAGGCTCCCAAGGAGCAGGGAGCCCGATCCCAGGACCCTGGGATCATGACCTGAGCCGAAGGCAGACGCTTAACCATCTGAGCCACCCAGGCGCCCCTATAAAAAATTTTTAAACATAATAAACCACACACACAAAAAAAAGGCCCTCAGTAATCTTGGAGATACTGTTAACATTTTTGGTGTATGTCCTTCTAGCAAGTAGATGCATATATATTTTTCTTTTAAAAAATATTAATTTTTAAAATGATTTCACAATCCTAATGTTTTCATGTGGTTATAGAAATGCCTAATGAGACATCAGTAACACTCCTGATTTTCTATTCTTAAAATACAACTGTAAAGAGAAAAAAGTAAATATCCAATGTATTGAATACAAAATAATATGTGACATCTTTAATGTCCACATGCAGTATTTGAACATGACTTGCTTTAGCATGTTGGGGAATGC